CGAGTTGTCGCTTTTTTTGTGCCAGTGTTGACGGGCAACCGTCCATTGGAGTTGCGCCCAGCCAATGAGCAGTTGCCTCTCTCATGACTAAGCAGAGCTCTCGTGGCCTCAAGATCCAGGGCTGTGGGATTTGGGTTTCCAGAATCTAAAATAAGAAAACGTCAAGAACTAAATCTTGCAATAGAGTATGCACATGTACTTTCTAGAGCTCCTCTTTGTGTCTAGGTATTGCTCAGTCGGTTGTGTTTCGTACTAAAGGTTCAGCGACGAAGAGCCCGCTCGTTGAAGACAATCTATGAGGGAATGTTTCCGGGCAAGTGAACAGAGACTGGAATTTGTAATCGATATAAAAAATGAACTTCTTGCCATACAAAAAGCTTGAAATCGGTTCTTTTATTATTCAAATAGTTCTGTAAAGCAGCACAACGGCAAGGCAACTTCACCCACTTCACTTGGTGGGACAATTAGCCGCAGTTCACCCGTCAAGGCAGCTCCAGCACGCGTAGACGTCAATACCTATCAGGTAGCTTCGAGCTCCCGCACTGCACCAACGGTATCAATCGTCAAGCTACAAACACATCCCCGACAAGTCGCCTTTGGATTCTCTCATCATACAGAAGCATAGGCACAGGATTCTGTGATTTCTGTTCACAATGTCGGGTACGCACAGCTTTGGACTTACCTACCCCTCCCCGAGCTTGCTTGGCCATCCCACCGCAAGGTCCCTGCTAACTGTATCGAAACCGCAGCCAGCGCATACGACCGTCACATTACCATCTTTGCCGACAATGGCCGCCTGTACCAAGTCGGTATGTTGACTGCCGACTTTGAAACGACCGGATCGGAGAGCTTCTGAGCCGATTTCGTGAGGACTGTGCTGATAAAGCGGAACTAGAGTACGCCTTCAAGGCCATCACAGCTGCCAACATCATGTCTGTAGGCATCCGAGGCAAGGACTGTGCCGTTGTCCTATCACAGAAGAAGGTTCCCGTACGTTTGTTCCTCTGCCCAGGGCGGCCATCAGCATGAAGAGATTCTCAGAAAGGCTCACTCGAGGAAATGAACAGGACAAGCTCATCGACCCTTCTTCCGTCTCCCACATTTTCCAGATCTCCCCCTCGGTCGGCTGTGTCATCACTGGCTCTATCGCCGATGCCCGAGTCTTCGCACAAAGAGCCCAGTCAGAAGCTGCAGAGTTCCGATACAAGTTCGGGTACGAGATGCCAGCCGATGTCTTGGCCAAGCGCCTGGCCAACATCAGCCAGGTCTACACCCAACGGGTAAGGGGTCCTTTCCAACTGCCGGCTGAGATGATTTGATGGGGAAATACTCGGACGCTGATCTGGATACAGGCTTACATGAGACCATACGGTGTCGCCACCACGCTGATTTCCCTCGACTCTGAGCTTGGACCTCAGCTGTTCAAGTGCGACCCGGCTGGATACTTCATTGGATACAAGGGCACCGCGGCCGGTCCTAAGCAGCAGGAGGCTTTGAATCACTTGGAGAAGAAACTCCGAAACAAGGATCATGCTGAGGGCGACTGGGAGGAGGTTGTTGAGCTTGCAATCACGACCCTTAGCACGGTTCTGAGCATGGACTTCAAGAAGGGCGAGATTGAGATTGGCATTGTGGGTGGTCCCCGGGCTGACGGAAAGGAGGGAACTGAACCAGGATTCCGTAAATTGACCGAGGAGGAGATCGACGAGAGGTTACAAGCGATCGCAGAGAAGGATTAAACAGAAGCGGCCGCTTGATACTGGCGAATGAATGGTAATTGACTCGATGATATTCATGGATGAACCCTGACGTATACGGACGTACATATTCGCGGGGAGGGGGCACACACACTCTCACACAGGCACCATAACTATAGACACTCCATCCATCTACCCACACTCTCTTACCCTTGTTGAGAGAGAGAGACATAGAGGGCTTGTGCGACCAAGTTGCCAGCTGGACGTGGGCGTGAATGGCAGTGGGCTTCCCGCTCCCGTGTCTTATCTTATTACAAATCAGACAATCAATACCAATTATTGCAATGCATGGGCTTTGGAGATCTCCGATGCACATGGCGCGACACCCAATCAACCCACAAGGGTCCGGTAAAGCCACAATGCTGGTGACGAGGCAGGCTCCACGGATTGACAGCTCCCCTAGCCCAGGGAAAGGGTTTGTTGAGCCTGGCAGATGGATGTAGTCCAAGGTGGGTCGCATACATGTATATGCACCTCGCCTGGGAGATCCAATGCCACGAGGGCGCTGAGATGGCCCTGTCATCAGCTGGGTTTGCGGCTGACACAGACCAGGCAGCCTTCTTAAAGTTATGTTGTGATGATGTCGATGAACCATGATGCGCGACCCTGGTAAACCGTGGCTCCCGAATGCTACAGTGGCATGGTATCAGCCGGCCCAGTGTCGCCTGGAGGTCTCCGCTAAATGCAACGCTGAGAAGTACAGCGGCGCAGTCAGAAAAAGTAATTCGGGCGATCGATATCGTCAATCTTGGGTTCCCAATGGGGAATCCGACATGACTGATGACCGCTGCGAATGGGGTTTGGGTCCAATCAAGTAAGGGGGGGGATGAGAGATCTCAGCCGAATCCGTAACGACATGCCCAATCTGGTCTGTCTTGGGGGGATTGGTTCCTCTCCTACCGGGGAGGCCCCCTTGAAGTGTAACGTTGGGTTGCTGTCTGGTAAATCGAAGATCAACCCAGGCCCGACTAACCGACCCATACTCTAAATTTTTCTTCCTCCATGCCATTGTCCCCTTGATGGCAGTAATATCAAATATAGAGCTAGCGGGACACCTCGTGGGAAACCATTGACGTACGCAAACGGGGGAATGGGGAAGGGAAATAACGTCGAAGTGATACGACGTCCGTTTCTTTTGATGGGAGGCCAATCCGCGTGCCTGGATAGCTAGCGTAGAATCAAGCACAAGGTGATTAATATGGAGACATGTCTTTGCAGGCACCGGTGTTTCCAGTGGCTTTTCCCACGATGTTGATGTGCGTCAAGCGGGGGCACCGCCTTGGTATGGTTTGTATGAAGGCAGGCAGTTATTGGGCTGAAAAGCAGGTGTGGGTTGCAACTATGACACTGTGGCTACGGCGTCGGCCGAGAGAGTGAGTGAGTGACGACGCAGGGGGGAGTGGCTTGACTACTAGCCGAGAGAGTGGGCATTCTGAATCTGCTGAGAGGCTTTGAGGGCTTGAGAGGCCTGTCGGGGTGGAGTGGCAGAGAGATGGCGTCGAGGAAGATCACATCATGCCTGTGCCAAATCCCCTTCACACAGAGACTCGTCCAGGTGCCCACTGCACTAATGCCTACACATGGACAGATAGTCGCTAGCGAAGGAGCCGGGCCCAGTGCTCAATAAACTCCGGGTGGTGCGGTGTCGATGCGGGCCCGCCTCAATAAAAGCCGTTCGTTTGACACGCAGCCAATGGCAATGGCAAGACGCTCTGGAGGACGAATCGATTCAGCTGTGCTGCCCGTTTTGATCTGGATGGGGCCGTGGGCTGCTGGCCAGCTCATTGGCCCCGATGGGACGGTCCTTGCATGGCAAAGATGGCGCTAAGATCCACACATTGCCCTACTGGGTAAAAGACAGCCGGCCTCGAAATAGCTGAACGGCAGCCTCCCCAGCCTCACATGTGTGGCCCGGAGAATGAGCGTTTGCTTGACTTTTTCCCTCTCGTCCTGATGGGCTGCGTTTTGTCTAGCGGCCGGTGGATGACGGTAGGGCTTGTGGCCTAGTAGGGCTGGTGGCGAGTTTTGGTTGGACAGCCTGGCTAGACCATAGACAGCTGGAATGAACGGTGGGCATGGCGTTTGTGGTGGTTTTTTCCCCGTCCCCCCTTCCTACCCTCCTTCGGAGCTTGCTGCAGCAGAGGCAGGCACGCCCAGTGCGGACTATTGGGGCAGGGTCAGTGTAACCAAATCATCCTTCCCAGACTACTGGACACCTCGGTGGTAGTCCAGGCGTGAGCAGCCCCCTCCCAGCCCATCGCATGGATGTGGATGTACCTGCGTAAGGCACTGCTAGATGTATGTTAGGTTAGGGCTTAATGTCCGACGCAATGAATTCAAATGGTCAAACGTCTAGAAAGATGCCTGTCCCCACCTTCATCACCCCCGGGGGGCTTTGCTTGGCAGGCGTAGCTGTGTGTAACTGGTTGCAGCACACCGGCAATAGTGGTAAGTATACGGGAAGGAGCCACTACACGACCTTATTCGAGGTGGAGACGGCGATGGAGGCTCTCGTTGGTTCCTGCCTTTGACCCCAAGGCAGCTGATGTTCCGGGTCGCTCGCCGTATAAGGAGTCAGCATTGCATTTCACGCTGAAATGCCCCCGGGACGCCTTCATAGACATCCGCAGCAAGGTGGATGACGGAGAGCATAGTTGTGATCTTGGGCCCGGGATCGCTTGTCTCTGCTTGCTCCTTGCTGGAAAGGCACCGCAGGGCCAGAACCACAAGATGCGACCCCCCTCCCCTTACATGAGATGAAGGCAGGAGATTGTTGTGATGTACAAAAGGATGCTCTGGGAATCTCCAATTGCCCATTGCTTTGCTTCGACGGGCATCACCACACTCACCCTCATCCACGACTGTTGGCATCGACGACCGCTATCTGTTACCACATCCACCACATCAACAGCCTACTTGACCTGCTTTAGGCACCTTTTCAGTCACCTTCTCCCCTCCTCCACCGTCCAATCCTGATCAATCCAGACGTCTCACTCTATCAACCAACTCCATCACCTCTTCTTGTCTTTACACGCAATTTTTTCCTACTGGTTTTGAATACCACCAGCCCTATCTCTCACCCATTAACTCCAAAGTTCCTGACAATGGACGGTTGTAAGTGCCATCTCTCCACAAGTGGCAAGCGGCGAACCCTCTCGGCAGTTCATCTTGCAAGCCCCTCCCAAAGTGCCCACACCGAAAGTACCGTGACTGATTGCAGCCTCCCTTTTCTGCTTTAAAGTGAACGAATACCGCACGGCAAGAGTTGCAGAGATCCTGGACGATTTCCGAACCCTTCAGTACTACATTGCTGCGGCACCGACCTCACCGATCAACTCCGAAGACCACTACACTGAAGGTTGGGCAGCGCTCAGGCAGTGCGCCATCGACGGTCAGCACATCCTCGAATGCGCCGCAGACACGAGCGTCCCCAATGCCTCCGGCGGCGAGGAGGAGCAAAGGAGAGCCGAACTCAAGCAGTACGCTATTTCCCACCCGCACTTGGCTATTTTTTTCCTTCCGCAGGGCAGCGAAAATTCGATGCAAAAGTTGTTAATGTCGAGATGACCAACTGACTGAAACCCTTTCTTGGCTGCAGGGTTTACCTCGATGCTTATGCTAGGCGCCACGAGGGGCAGAAGATCTACCTCCGGCAGGCGGCAGCGCAGAGATGGATAGAACGACGAGACTACATTCTGCAGGGAGGACGACCAGGGTCCAAGAACCGCAAACACCTCCAGGCTTCCGATAACCAGTTCCGACAAGTAAGTGCAAAAAGAATCACTGCGTCTTGTGCCCCAGACCCCCTTCGAAAAAAGGGGAAAGTTCTGTGTGAGAGGGGGGAGGCCAGGAGGGCGGAACAGAACTCAGAGAAGCGTGGATGATGTTCTCTAACGTTTGCGGGGATTAGGAACTTGCGAGCATCACAGACGAAGCTGTTTACTCGGACTTGCAGGCTTCTGACATGGGCCTCGGTCGCTGGACGGCAGAGGACCCAAGCTTGAGAGCTGTCCTGCGCTGGCTGCGCGCCCGACGATAAGGGCCAGGACGGAAACGAGAAGGAACAAACTCCTTCTTGCACCACTCCTCAGGGAACTTGGTGACTTGTAACAACATCTTTGTTTTCGGTTTCTTATGACGACATTCAAGCCAACGAGCATGCGAATACGACCTTCGAGGACAAGGATTTTGGGATAGTGAAGTTGGGCAACAGTCGACATTCATTCTTGTTTTGGTGATTTTAGGGTCGTTTGCATGTTAGGGAGCACGGGAATTATATGTACGTCCGATCAATTTCTTCTCTCCTCCGATGGAGAGCAGGCTCTTATCCTTGGGCTGGAGAGTAGAAAGAGACGGAAAGGGAGCGACGGAGAAATTGGGATCTTTCTTTTTTGTTTGGAAAAGTATTCATAGACGGCTTGTTTTGGGATGGTTTGTTTTGGTCTGCCATAGATACCTATTTCTTTCCTTTTCATTTCGGGGTTTCCTACTTGGCCTGGGCGGGTTCTTTGGGCCGGAAGGAATTTATCTGTGGTTGTTAGCAAGCAAATGAATTGACATGATAATTTTGGATTGGGTCAACGAAGCTCAGACAGAAAAATGCATTTATGAACAGACTCTATAGCTGGCATATACTTTGGGTACAACGCTGAAAAAAAAAAGATCGATTGGTTATGAAAGGGATATGTGGGAGCTTGACCATAGACATTCATTGAAACTATCCGACTTCCATCAAATCACCGCTTGCTCTGAACACACAGGCCAATTCCAGTAAGAGAAAGAACCATGCCAATTGCGATTTCTGTATACTATCAGTGTACGTGTCCCCGATTTCTGTTTCGGATACCGGGGGGAAAGGTGGAGTTTCCCAGGAACTGACCTTTGCTGATCACTTTGCCCTCGACAAGCCACTCGCCGATGACGGTGAAGAGGAATGCCAGAGTATTGACGATGGGGACGGTCAAGCTCAGCTCTACAACCCCGGACACACACATGTAAGTAAGCTTCCTTTCGGCCATGTGGCAAAGGTCCTGCAAGAAGGGGAGGGGGATACAAACATACCGGCTTGACCAATGAGGAGGAAGAACCAGACGCTGCCGGTGACGTTGAGCAGCAGCGGGGTGGCATACCTGGGGTTACGCAGGAGGTCGAGGACGCCGAAGAAGGCGCCGTACAGCTTTGATTTGAGCCAGCTGGCCTTGACGGCTGGGGAGTCGAGGACCGGGTGCGGCGGGGGCTTGTGCGTGCGGGCAGCCCGGCGGATGAAGGGCGTCGTGAAACCCCAGCACAGGCCGACAAGGATGAAGCTCAGGACGTAGTTGAAGGCGGGGGGTGAGCTGCTCCCGGTGTCGTCGGCCATGGTGAAGGGAAACAAAGTGAGATGTGTATTGATTGGACAGGGATGAGTTCTGGTGTGTGTGAGGCCTTCCCGTAGCTCTGGGTATAACCGATAGGAGAGATGGGTATGGGGAAGATACAAGGGGATCGGGCGCTAGGAGCCGCAAAGGAGCCGGGATAAAGGCGGAGGGACGAGGTGTGGGCGTCTGCCAATCGGATCTGAAAGACGCAGGATGGTGAGGATGGGGAGGGGATGCGGCCTTGTTGGCGGCTGATGAGGCTGAATCGATATATCGAGGTAGAGGCCTTGGATGGGTGGCGAGTGGTGAGACGGGGCAAGGTTGATGGGCCGTTAGAGGCGCATGTAATCAATGAATTAGTGGGGTTGGGACAAGGTTAAGGACGGCTAGGCGCTGTAGCAAGTTGATTTGGCTAAGGGGTCTTCCCGCTAAGAAATCAGCTACGGTGGCTTTGCGCCGACTCTTCAGCGGCCCCCCCCTTGATCAGCTGGACCGGTCCGTCCAACATCAGCCGGAGCCCACTTCAGCGCTCAAATCACCGGCTCTACTTCTTCTTCTACTCGGTATCGTTGCCGTCATCATTCTCATCTGCGACGATCTGTAATAAGATATTGGGATGAATAAGGTTATTCACCGCCTGTTTGTCCACCGCTCAATACTGAGAGAACAAGTCCCTGATCTGCGCTCATGGTGTGTGATATCAACTTCATTGAGCCGCATTACCCCCGTCCGAAGTTGTTAGATTGTTCGCCAATATGGTTTGCGCACTCCAAGGCGTGTCTTCCGAGAAGGGTGTAATACGATTGATCATATGCCTCAGCGCTGCTGCCTGTTCCTGAAGCCCGGTGCCTGGATCTATCGCTTATGCTGGAAACCAGTCGTTGATGACGCAAAGCTTTCACTGACATCACAGGAACGGAGTATCCGTCTTATTCTGGTACGCCCTTGATCAAGCACGGCCAGCAGAATGTGGCAATATTGTGCGGCCGTATTATCGTTGTAGATCAAATACCCATAGCTGCCCAAGCGAATAGGGATGGCCTGGGCAGGAACTGCACTCTGCGAAGTTCAATTTCTGGTATAAAAGAGTCCAAGCTGAAAATTGGAACAAGCCAGTAGAGTACCGCGGATTATAGCATTGACGGTCTGATAAAGATTTGAAGCGATGCTCGCACTTGCCTGCCGCCTTGTGAGACCTACGGATATTTGTAACCAACAGCATCTGAGAAATGATCAACACGCCTTGGCACGTTGCTTTCATTTTCCGCTCAGGTTGTTCGCAGTATGTGATCTCTTACTCTCTCTAATATTTTTCATCAATATTTAAGCAGAGAGGATGAATGTGGTTATTTCTAGGGTCAATGACGGACCCTCGGCGACCACCTCTATCTAAGTGGGCAATAGCCAACAGCCATACTGCAACGCCCATGGACTTCCCAAAGTATGCGTCTGGCCAATACGTTGAAATGACGACGCGGTCTCAGTGGAGAGACACAACCTGCTTCGCTCAGAAGATTGCATGAGTGCGATATCGCGCTGCTTGAATATGTGAAGCCTCACTGGCGAGCGCATGAAGCATACGTTAGGCTAGGAAAGAAATCCCTTGCTGTCAAGTGAACTCAATTGATTAGACTTCGCACCACGTGCGACAGACTGATTGGGCTCTAATTATTAATCACTGTTGAGCGTTGATGGAAGTCGGCGCAAGGCTGATACCCAGAGGCGGCGCAATGCGACTCCCCAGGCTTTTTTTGCAAGTCATATGGACAAGCTCTTTCGGCAAGACGTATTACGACGGACCATGGCTCAATCAATCCAAGGGCCCGCATTCTCTGCCAGTTACTTTCGAGTTGGCTTGGAATGGCTCGACCAACCGCCGAGGACGGCGTTAATCAGATCCCCGCCGGGAGTGGCATTAGGCCTCGTGACGGCCCAGAGTGGGCTGAAGCAAAGGGCCAACAAAGAGCGCCTTGCCGTTGTTGTGTACGGCAGCCAGCTGGCAACATTGGCATGAAAGGGGGGCATGAAAACATCCAGAAATAAACAAGTAAACAAGTAAGCAGGCAATAAAAGTTGGCATAAGACAGGTAAGAGTCATAGGCCTGAGGCTCACGGACAGTTCATGCACTTGGAGCGAGCAGGGGAGGGTGCGAGGGTTGAAGGACAAGGCGCTCGAGCCGTTCTAAACCTTCGGGCATCAATGGGAGATTTCTACCTCACGCACGTACCTGGCCACTGAGCTATTGAACGCTGCCAGTGCCTAGCAGTGCATATCACCCTCAACTCGAGATCCAATGGAATGGAAGGCGGATGCAGTGATTGTGTGTATGTGCGACAACCGTCTTGGAGAAGTAGTTCTCCAAAAGGCTTAGCTGGCTGGAGGTAGGCCTTATTGTCAGTGAAACCCCGTTGCTGCCCCTTCCATGATTTCGGGCCGGGAATCGACTGAATTGCTGGGATGGAAAGCCCCATGGTTGCTGCCCATTGGGCATGTTCTCCAGACAAGAATGAGTCAATGGCCAGTACCTGGCTTGTGACCTCATTTCTGGAAGATACCTGCCGCTTGCCCTTGCGGGCTAATCAGCAGTTATAGTGGTACTTGCTCTCTGGCCTGTGTCATGGCCCTTAGACAAGTACTTCCCTAGTGGAAACTGGCAGTGGTCTGCGCTCGCCTGGTCACTCCACTAGTGGGGTTCCCATGCACGCTGCTCCCAGAGGTACTGTGGCAGCCTGCGCCAAACCTTCCCCTCTCCTCCCGCCCCAGCTAAGCATCTCGCCAGGCACTTCACGGACGATACACCACTTGACATATCCATTCCATAGTAACCACCTGCCCTGCATCTATTGCACAGGCACGGACCTTCTGGGCGTAGTTCTTTGGACCCCACCTGCGTTCCTCTTATTTTTTTTTCTCCCTACCACCCTTCCAGCTCCCCATTTACCAACTCGCTTGGTGGGACTATAAAACTAACCTCGCCTCGGCCTCTTTCTCACTCAAGCGACCCTGCTCCTGCTTCGTCTACCAGCTCCCGATACACCGACCGTTTATCCTAGCGACCGTTATAATCGCCAAAATGAATCCTCACCAGAAGAACAAGGTCGATGTCAAGGTAATATCCTTCATATCCTCTTTCTTTCCATATCCGGAGGGCGATTGTTACCGTCCTACCCCACTCTCCTCTCAACATTCCCTCGAGCAAATTCGACCACCAATATGTGACTCGAGTTTGCTGGCTTGCCAGTACTCAGGAGCGATACTGTCGCATTCGTCTTTGTTCCGGATCATACTTCTTGCCAGATACGTGGCAGTGTGCTAACGTAACTTTCTCAGAACCTCTCTCCCGAGGAGCAACGACTATTCCGCCTCTATGGCAAGCTCCCCTCCCGCTCCGATCACTTCGCCAAGCATCTTAAAGACCGCAAATACTTCGATTCCGGTGACTATGCCATGTCCAAGGCCGGAAAGGGTGACGGTGTAGACGCTGGTGCCGTCGGCTCCCAGCACCCCGTCCCCGAGAACATCCCCCACCTCTCTTCCCCCGTCAACTCCAACACCTCCTCCACTATCGCCAACGGAGCCAGCGCCAACGGCGGCTCTATCCCCAAGCACGCCCACCATGGCTCTATCCCCGGTATCCAGGCTGGCAGCCCTATTAAGGAGAGCAGCTTCCTCAATCACCAGACCAACGCCGACGAGACCGACGAAACCAACCAAAATGAGGAGAAGCCAAAACCAGCTGAGAGCGGCATTCCTATCCGGGGATAGGTCATGGCAGATACTGTCACTATTTTTTGCTCTTTTCACTTCTTCTACTTTTCATTTGTTTAATCTACCGATTGGTTTCCTCCTATCGATAACCAGAATGGCGGGGTAAAGCGCTTGTACGAAAGGTTGATTTCAAGGTAACGAGGGAGTTGGGAATGGTCAAAAGACAAAACCTAACTTTACTCTTCTGTTTTCTTTTGTCGGATCTGCTTTGAGGGCTGTCTATGCTGGCGTTTATGGAACAAACAATGGGACACGTCCTCGTTTTGCTCGTTTTCCTATACTATCTCCAACGACTGATTCGAGGGTCGTCCGGGTGCTATCAAAGGGCCAGATTGAACCACGTGGTGGATGGTCTCATCTCTGGGATACTAAAATGAAGGCCGGAGATGGCAACAAGGTATGATTTATGCAAATCGCATGTTTTGAGGATTCTTGCGTCGGATGCTTTGCGAGTGCCAATAGTCTGAATCAATGGCACATGATGTACTGCGTATTATCTTTGCTACCATAGCTCAATCGAACAGTTTTCTTTGTGCTTCTACTCGTAGATCTGTAGCGTATAGGAAAGTCAAGCCACAGATCCTCCACCGAGGTGTCTTAAATGCGTATAAAGTACTATTAGGTAGTCATGGATAAAACGCTGTGAATTGCAAATTGGCAATATTGCAGGAGCAAGCAGGTGATATGAAAGGCATCAAACCCAATAACATTATCTTTCCTTAGTCTAGCGAATGAAGGCAGCAATGAAGCTCAATTGAAATTATATCCAAATATGGACAACCTATTGTCGCCAGCAACTATAAGTATAAATCATACGAGCTCGTCAGTATACAACCCTGTAACTACCAATGGAGCGACAGTGATCCGAAGACCAAGCAAAGAAATTTAGAAAATCCCCAGTAAACATGATGTGTCAAGCTGGAACAGATACTCTGATAGCTGTTCTGTGTACGAAGGCTTACAGTGCAGAGAGAGGAAGATATGTGCAGATCAAAAGATCGTAGATCTTAACAAAAAGAGGGTTCAAGTCGAAAATCATAACTGCATCCCAATCTGAGTACCATTATTTATGTGATACGAAGCTTTCTGCTTAATCTGCTGAAATATTTTGGTTGATGCTTGGAATCGAAGCAAGACAAATCCGCCCCTCTTGATTGGCCCGATATTTTTTCCACTTCGACAAGCTGCAGACAAACCAAATCTTTAGCCAACTGCTTGGCGTTGCCCAACTCTCTTGCAACACCTCATTTCTACACAAACCGACTGATCGATGCTCAGACGGATCCTCGCAACCATGACAGAATCCGCAGCAAAAAGAATCAAGACGTCGGGCGCGCCCCTCATCGGCACCCACAGCGGCCACTTCCACGCCGATGAGGCCCTCGCCGTCCACATGCTGCGCATGCTCCCAACCTACAAGGACGCATCCCTGGTCCGCACCCGCGACCCCAAGATCCTCGAGACCTGCCACACCGTCGTCGACGTAGGCGGCGAGTACGACGCCGCCCGCAACCGCTTCGACCACCACCAGCGCGGCTTCACCACCACCTTCCCCGGCAAGGCCACCAAGCTCTCCAGCGCCGGCCTCGTCTTCCTGCACTTTGGCCGCTCCATCATCGCCCAGAAGCTCGGCGTCCCCGCCGACCAGGAGTCCTCCCATGCCGAGGTCGGCCTCCTCCACAGCAAGCTCTACGACAGCTTCGTCGAGGCCCTCGACGCCCACGACAACGGCATCTCCGTCTACGACCCGGCCGCCATCTCCGCCGCGGGCATCGACAAGCGCTTCTCCGAGGGCGGCTTCACCCTCGGCGCCATGGTCGGCCGCTTCAACCCCAACTGGAACGACCCCAAGCCCTCGGACCCCGCCGAGGCCCAGGCCGCCGAGGACGAGCGCTTCCTCGCCGCCAGCGCCCGCATCGGCGAGGAGTTTGAGCGCGACCTCGACTACTACTCCCGCGCCTGGCTGCCCGCCCGCGCCGTCGTCCAGGAGGCCTTTGACGCCCGCGCCGAGCACGACCCGGAGGGCCGCGTCCTCGTCTTCCAGGGCACGTCGTGCCCCTGGAAGGACCACCTGTACGCCCTCGAGGGCGACAAGGCCTCGGTGCTCTACGTGCTGTACCCGGAGAGCGCGGCCGCGGACGCCAAGTGGAGGATCCAGTGCGTGCCCGAGAGCAAGGACTCGTTCGTCAGCCGCAAGCCGCTGCCCGAGGCGTGGCGGGGGTTCCGCGACCAGGAGCTCGACGGGATCACGTCCGTCCCCGGTGGTGTGTTCGTCCACGCTGCGGGCTTCATTGGCGGGAACAAGACGTTTGAGGGTGCCAAGGCAATGGCTGAGAAGGCGCTACAAGCGTAATGGAAATGAGTTATTGAAAAGAAGAATGAAAATTTGGACATGCGGTTATGACACATTGAGAAAGCTATGTTATGTTATGGTAGTCTAGGCTTTCATGGTTTGGTTCCAAAGGGGTCCATTGAAGGGATTAGGTCCCATGAACCTGGCAAAAGGGAAAAGAAAAAGGAAAAGGATATAGAGCTTCAATCACAATAACGGCATAAACGAAAATCTAAATCTCATTAGCGACTAATTATGGTTATTGTAAGACCTCAACACTAGGTAGGTGTGAGTTTGTCAGACGGTGAGTATCTTGCTTCTTTTCAGGCATGGCGATGGTAAAATATACATTTTTAGGTGGATGATTCTCTATTCATTAACTAATAGTCCGTGATCACTTATACCCATATCCAATCTCACTTCCTTGATGCCGCATCCTTGGGCGGTCCTGACAGGCCCTCAACAGCTTGACGTCCGACATTGCTCAGGTCCTGCGCGTCCTTTGAGGCAGGTTCCCGCAGACCAGCGTTGCTCGCGTCACTGGTACCGACGTTGGCCTCGGTGCGGCCAGATCCGACGTTGACGGTGCGCGCATCGGCGGATTGCCAGTCAGAGGCGGTTGCAGGCTGCTCGGGGAGCGGGAGGTTGGCCTGAGCCTCTGCGATCTTCTGGTCCTTGGACTGGGTCATTTTGGGTTTTGCCTGTGAGGTGCCTTGTCAATGAGACGAACATGATATATCAGATGACTGGATTGACGGGACGGAACGCCTCAATTGGCCCCCTAGTGTATTCGAATGCTCTTAGTTTGGACTTACGTTGAATTGGTGGACCTTTTCGGAGGGGCTAACAAAAACTAAGACTTTCTCCGTGTCTTTATACGAGATTCGGGATTCAGGATTCGGTGTTTTGGATGAATTATAGGAACGATTAGATAAATTTGTTTCCATTGAGGTGTTGCAATGCTTCTATTATACTTATTGAACAACTTCTAGATGTTTCCTGGGCACACGATCACGATGGTCATTGACGTCAGAGACCTATGTCGAGAAAAGATCAACTTGAACTCGCCGTGGGAACTCTGGGTCCAGGAGCTAAAGTTCCGACTTTGCTCCACGGAATCGCCATTCTCTTACACATTGATGGGGTTCCCTGAAATTCAAAACATGTAGATTTCAAGAATATGCCTAGTATGCTTCCACGATCTTCCACCCTTGTCCTTGAACCTGCCAGACCGCAATTGAGAAATCGGACAGCCGGGTATCAATTCATATGTCATTCTGCTTTTCACATATATAAATAAGATGCTACCCCTGAACGCCCATCCTGGATGGAGGCTGATCTCTCCCAAGCCTCCACAGAATCAAATGCACGCGCCCACAATTCATAGCTATTCGTCCATTTTGACATCATGAGAACAAGCAGGTACTCTGCTCAGCCCACTCGTCTATCTGTCTCCGCCGAGGTGGCCTTGTCTCCCGTGTCCGGGTTCAGATAGTCGGCGTCCTCGGCAGCTTCGTACTCGGCAATCAGATCCATAACTACCTGCCTCGCTTCGTCGAACTGGTCGAGGTTCTCTGAGAAAGGTGCCGTCTTCTTGTATCCTTCTATGAATGCATTTCGCTTCCGCATGCCGTCGTACTGTTTGACAATACGCTTAAACAGCTAGTAATCGACATGTCAGTTTAGTAAACCACACCACGACGATAGACATAGAACAAACCGTAGCTATACTAGTGTGATTAGCCAGCATGAGACCGCTCACACGATGGCTCATGGGGATGTACGGGCTCCGCTTTGTCAGGGCAACCTGTATACTTGCTGGGCCCCATGGGATGAATGTGGCCAGCCTTCGCTCACGGATGCGCAATAGACTCTTGTGCACGTCCGTCGGGTCCACCTCGCCCTGGATGACGTTGAGGATCGAGATGTAGCAGCTCTTCTTGCCAGGTATGGTGGAGACCATGCGATTCTTGGGTTGCAAGAGACGGCGCATAACATCCAGAACAGTCGTCTTGCGCACCGTCTTCGCCTGCTCAACCTGGTCTCCCGTGAAGGGGGTGTAGGCCGTCATGAGGAAGTGGCATCTCGGGGTAGGGATCAGAGAAGCAAGAATGCTGACGAGATCATTGTGCATATATCCAGGATATCGCAGAGTTGTAGTACTTGCAGACATTACAGTCGCAACCTGAGTCGATCAGCAATGCTCAACTTATGCCATAATAAGCCAATAAAGTGAACCAACTCACCAACTGGTTTGTCTGCTGCCAAGAAGGCTCCTGGACGTGGAGCCTGTCGGCTGCAATGTGGGACAAAGCTGCATTATCCAAAACCACAACAGAGTCGGCATTCTGTGTCAACCTCCTCATAGACAGGATGCTGTTGTAAGGGTGCACAACAACATCACCGGCGTTGGTCGTGTCGGGGAAGACAGAGTAGGTTTGTATAATTTTCTTCGGGAACCTATCATTCAATCTCTCGAGGAGAAAAGACCCAAGTCCAGAACCAGTGCCTCCAGCAATGGAGTGTAGCATCATAAATCCCTAGAACGCCTGCTGTTAGGCGACAATCAAACATCAAGGGCGACGCAGAGCAAGGACCTACCTCGAGAGAGTCACTGCCGTCGGCCTCGCGATCAATCATCTCCATAATGTCCTCGCAGACCGACTCTCCGGTTTGGTAACCGTCTCCCCAGTTGTTGGCGGCTCCCATCCCATCCTTCCCGACGTAGAAGTTTTCTGGGTTGTAGATATTTTTGTAGGGACCTGTTTGAATGCTGTTGAGGACCTATATTCCAATCACATGTTTAGGCGTCGCCTTCGACGAAAAAATCTACCACGGGCAGCTTACCCTTGGCTCCAGGTCGACTAGGATCGCTCGCGGAATGTATCGCGTATCGTCGCTCTGGTAGTAGAACACATCTTTTCGGTCTCCGCCCTCGGTCGCAAAGTCCTCGAGATTTCCGTCTTGACTGATTCCGTGCTCTTGGCAAAGCTGCTGCCAGAACTGGCTACCAACTAGTCGCCTGTCAGTGATCTGAGTCGCTACCACAAATTCCGCGAGGATTGAATCGCGACTGCGGGGCGCCGCTCGAGGGAAGATAGTCGCCAATGCTGTACGGAAGAGGGCGGAAGGGGTACTAACTGCTGTTGCCGCACTGCCCAGCCTGGATTGTGATTATCTCCCTGGGCGAAATTGTTAGCAGGCTGCTTATTTAGTTTTTCTATAAATATTCCGAAGCATACCGAGGCATTCTTGTTGGGATAGTATCATTTCAAGTTGATGTAAATTTATGTTGTTCTTGGAGGTGTGGTCAAGGAAGGAGCTATACAGCCGATAAGAGCAACGCGACGCGTGAGATAATGCTATACCCCACTAATAAAGCACCCCGCGTTAAGAGCCTCCACCACCCGGCGAAACATGCACTCTTGTTGCCCAGCAAGTATTGAGAGAGTTTGTGCATATACTATATGCCGTGAGCTGAGTTCTTAGAATAGACTCGCTTCTTCTAAACCCTTTCCCGCATGTTGCTATCAATCTTGCACCTGTGGAAAAGTGGAAAAGGAAAGGTCCTCGTCGTATATGCCCATTGCCCAACTCCGAACACACTGTTTCAACTCTCTTATGAAGGCAGAAGTGATCTCCATGACTGCATCTTAAATAAATGAGGCGCCACTTAGACAGGTACCGGTTCATGGATCAGTACTAGAATAGATGATTACACTCTTCATCACATATAATACTGGTCAAACTGGTGTAACTTTTGACTAATACACTAAACACCATACACTAACTGAGTCATAGACAAGCTGGCCATAGCCGTGACAGTACCATCCGAATAAAATCAAATTCTCAGAATGAAATCCCCAAAGCGCCTGATATGCTAACCTTAAACTGAACACAACCTACCTGGCCTTACCCTTTGGTATGCGGAACGCTGGCTGAAAAGACTCTTTTTACATACATGCCCCCCCACCACGCATATTACTTATTCCCCAGCCTCCTCAATTATTTCTTATTCTCCTTCTTGTGCTTCTCCAATGCCTCTGCCAACTCAATCGCCAGCTCCTTTGTTTTGACCTGGATCATCCAAGTCTCCAATCCATCACCCTTCTCATTCGACGTAGTGATCTTAACATACTTGTTGTCGGCCTTGTAGCTCATTTCGGGCATGAGAGCTCGGTTCAAGGCGACATGTCCACGTGGCTCAGCACGCAAAAGAAGGCGGACAAGCTTCGTCTCCTTGTTCTGCAGGACACGAAGAGGTCCGACTCCTTGCGTAGACCAGGGACTCTTGCTCTTGGGTTTGTCGTCTCCCTCACTCCCAGCTGGGATGAACTTCAGGACCTTGGCACGAACTTCATGCAGCGTGTCCTCGCCCTCCTCAGCACCATCCGTCAGGTTGATTTGCTCGTGCTTTTCACCTTCTTCGTCATCGGCAGCCTTGGTTGGTTCCTTGGCCGGTTCCTTTGCAGCTTCTGCTTTGCCTGTAGGTTCCGGGGTCCCGCGCGCGGGTGTGGTGGCTAGACTGGAACCATCTCCAAGACTGAAGGGAGTGTCTAACCCCGACGCTTTAGCGGGAGAATCTTCCGTCCAGGAAAAGGGGACTTACTTGTCCCAGTGGAGGGGCCTCCAGTGGGCGGTTGCAGGTTGAAGAGGTTCTGGTTGTTGCCAAAGGGCGTTCCGGCACCTTGCTGAGGCTGAGCACTGACTCCCGAGAAGCTGAAGGTCCCTCCAGAGCTAGGCGCAGATCCATTAGTGTTGCCTTGGTTGATGCCGAAAACGGGCGCGGGAGTTGCATTATTAGCATTAAACTGGAAAGGACTTGAGCCCGAACCCGAGGCAGGTTTTCCAAACTCGAAGCTTGGGGTAGCCGTGGCCGATGCTCCAGAACTGAAGGGGTTGTTGATGGTGCCTGACGAGGCGGCGAAGTTAAAGTTCATGCCACCCGTGTTCCCACTGCCTGCTGGAGGATTGGACGTAGACCCAAATATATTGCTTGAAGGAGCTGGAGTGGAAGCCGGAGCGGCTCCTGAGCTGGGGGCGTTCCAAGAGAAAATAGGAGCCGCTGGAGTGGTTGTGTTCCCAAGGCCTGAGAAGATTGGCTTTGCTGGGGATTTGTCATCCTGCTTCATAGGACTTCCCTCAACCATGGAATTGTTGAAGGATGCAGGGGGCGACTTGGGGGCAAACAGGGACGTTGAGTTAGCTTGAGCGGCGCCATTCTGAGAAGCCCCAAAGGAGAAGCCGGATGATGTAGCTGGTGTTGTAGAAGCATTGTTCTTGAACAAGCTCGAGCTGCTGGAAGATCCCGCTCCAAAAAGATTGGATGTAGGTTTATTGCCAACAGTGGAAGGAGTAGAGAACCCTGAGAAAGGAGTCGCGGCCTTGGGAGGTTCGCTGGCTGCAGGCTTTTCGGGCTCCTTGTTGGTCTCCGCGGGCTTTCCAAAAAGAGTGGTAGAGCCCAGAACCGAAGGCGTGGAAGCTTTCGGAGCACCAAACAAGCTTGAGGTAGTGCTGGCAGAAGAAGGCCCAAAGAGAGATGGGGCCGCAGCAGGCGTCTCCTTGGAAGGTTCTGCTGCAGCTGGCTTCAGACCAAATGAAAAACCAAGGCTTGGCTGAGGGGTAGCTGGTTTTGTTCCAGCGGGTGCTTGGTCCAAGCTTGGAACATTCTCTTTGTCTGACTCCGCATCCTTCTTTGCCATTTCTGTCGAAGCTTCTTTGGGCTTTTCCGCAGCAGCATCCGGCTTAGGGGCGCCGAAAAGGCTGGAAGTGGATGACGGCTTGGAGGCGAAGAGACTAGGCGCTTGAACAGCTGCAGATGGCTTAGAAGCAAACGCGGACGACGGTTTAGTGGCAAAGAGAGGAGCTTCACTGCTTGAAGACCCTGCTTTGGATGTGGTAAACTTAAAAGAAGTCGAACTGGTGACAGATGGAGCGGCAGATAGAGGAGCAGCAGAAACACTTTCCGTCTGAGGGGTAGGTGTTGGCGCAGCGAACTTGAGGGGGGCTGCGTCTGGCTTCCAGGTCTGGTCCTTGAGAGCTGCTGGTGCGGGTTCAAGAGGCGTGGTTGCACGAACAGGCTGCCCACCTTCATCCTTGGTTATACGATCAAAGAGGCTGCGTCCAGGTGTGCTCTCCCGAGTGCCAGCATCGCTGGGCGTATCAACTGTGCTTGTAAGAGCAGGTCTCTTAGCGCTTCGTTCATCAGCCTGCTCAGCTTCTGGGCTCTCTTCCGAGTCGCTCTCACTCTCTGCATCGGCATCAACCCCACTGTTCTTCGCAGAGCTGTTATCCGACAAGTACCCAAAGATATTGCCGTTAGTGCTCGAGGCGGCCTGTGCAGCTTCCGACTTCAGCACCGAGCGCATGAGGTTGTTGGTGGCAGGCTTTGCAGAAGAGAAGCTGGGCTTTGCAGGCGTCGTAGAAGGAGTCAAGGAAGCCTTGTTGGCAGCTTGCTCGAACAAAGACCTCGCTCCAGATGTAGGCCTTTGCACCTTGGCAGGTGGCGCTTGTGTTTCTTCACCCAAAGATGCCTTTCTCTTATTCTTGGATGCCGCAGGTGGTGCAGCGGCCGGTGTTGTAGATGGGGCAGTCGCCGCGGCAAAGGGAGCCACGGGAGTATCTGTCTCAAGGTCGCGTTTCTTCGACTTGAGAGCAGGCGTAGACAGACCCTCCCCGTCATCCGTGGCCTTTCTCTTCTTCTTGGAGGTAGTCTTCGTGGGGGTAGGCTCGGCCTCCTCCTCCTCTGGGTCAGGTAGGCCGTGCTCCCGACGCCACCTCTTGAGGATCTCCTTTGATGGCTTCACGTTCTGGAACTCGTACAGACCGTATCGGAGCAGAATGATGCTGCGACTCTTCTCAAACTCCTTTGCGAAGTTCATCACGTTCAGCTTCCAGCCTTTCTTGATAAAAATCTCATCGGCCGCATACTTGAGTCTGCGGAGATCGAGGATGCAGAAGAACTGCCGACGCTGGTCTTCGTCGAATTCGGCGGGGGCGAGATGCGCCAGGAACTGGTCGGCGTAGATGGACCCTTTCGGGTCCCAGTCCTTGGGCACCTTCTGAGCCAAAGCTTCACCAGTAAGCTCAGGAGGGGGTGAGGAAATGCGCATGGGGAAAAGGTCCTTATCCGTTGCCCTGGCAGCGACTCCTCGCGTGGCTGATTGAGCCCCGAGCTCGCGGGCAGTTCGCGACGGCTCTGGCGTCGCACCGGGTGCGAAGACTCGCTTCATCGTGCTCTGAGGCACGCTGGGGGAGAAGGTATTTGCGGTCGGGGGGCTATCAGTGATAGCTGATGCCCGGAAAATGTTTCGCTGTCCAGTGAAGCTTCTGCCTAGGCTGCTTGCTGGAGGTTCGCTGCGAGCTATGAAGGATTTGCGAATGGATCCTCCAAGGGGCGTGCTGCTTCCAGCCCGCTTTCCGACGCTGCCATATGGAGAGGCTGCGAAGCCACGCTGCGAAAATGCCAGTCCGGGACGAGACTTAGGGGTGGCACTTCCCGCATCTCCAGCGTCGTTGTCGCCGGGCAACGCGAAGGTTACCATTGTGAAATATGTTTTGTTTGAGGACGGTTTGCGAAAGTGAGGGGAGTCAAGGAGATGTCAACCGAGGGTTGAGAGATGAAAATGGAGATGTTTGCAGAGTATCGAGTGTTTGTCGGGTCGACCTCGAGGAATTAGGATGCGGGCGTATGGAGTCAAAGAAAGGAGGAGAAAAGAAAAGAAAACTCTCAACAAAGTCAACAAAGGAGAGCGCGACAGAGATGGAAGGAAGGCTGCGACAAGACCGCGATGGTTGGGGATTGGTAGGGTACCAGGAAAGCCCGTCGCATGGCCGTTGTCAAGAAGAAAGCCGACGCGAAATTTGGGCGTAGGTGTGTTTTGGTGGGAACAAGGCGTCCCGTCTCAGTGCCCAGCTTTTTATTTTTTTTAATAGGCTCAAGGGAGTTGCTAGTCGTGCCTTCCGTCCAATGGACTCTTTGCCCCACTCTTGCGCACGGTTGCCTTGGAATCCAGGCTTTGAGGCCAGAGCAGTGGCCAACTCTAAATTCGGTTAGGTCTGATGACTGCATGCAGCTACAACGTGATATTGCAGAGTGAGAGCGCAGTGCTTTGTGTTCCATCACATAAAGGGCGCGGCTATTTATTGGCAAAATAATTTTTCCAGTTTTGTTCGATAAAACTAATCAATTTATGGATCCAATTTTGGCTACGTAGATAGTTAGATAGTGAGTGTGGTTCCATGGAGCCTATCCTATGCCACTCTTTCGCTACGCCTTGCCCGGAATGCCGGACGCAGGTGACGTAGCAAGAGAGAGGATGTCGATGGCGGCAACAGGATTCCCTTGGATAAAGAAAAAACATAGAAACCCAAAAGCACATGATTCTGTGAGGAGTACGACCTGAGAGGAGAACCTAGGGAGGAGGAAAGGAATAAAAAAATAAGAGTAAATAAAGCAGTTCCGAAACCCCTAACATAGTCCCTTGCCCGATCCGATGACCAGGACGCATAACAAATCCGTTCAAAGAAAAGACCTCTCGCTTCTACTTCTTCTGCATCATTTTCTGCTGTTCCTGAAGGAACTCCTCATCGGAGGCATCGAGAATATCGTATTCGTCATCGGTAATAAAGTTATCATCCGAGAGATCCCATTCCTCCTCGTCGGCGTCAATGCCAGCCGAGGGCTTCTCTTCAGCTGGTTGGGGCTTGACATCCTCGTGAATGCTAGCGACTGGGGACTCCTTCTCGAGCTTGGGGAAGATCATTTGGCTGGAGTTCACTTCTGGGGTCTCTTCCTCCTCAGCCTTCGCTTCAACAGTCGGCTCTGGAGACTCCTCCACCTTAACCTCGGGGGTTTGCTCAACTGGAGCAGGGGCAGGCTCCGTGTTTCTGACATTGACAGCACACCAGACGTGGTGTCCGAATCTGTAGCCGTCGGGGGTTGTCAGACGCCAGTAAGAGACACTCTTACCAACTCGAGTGGGTGTGCGGAGCAGGACTCTGAAAGCGTGCTCCTCACCAGGCGCAAGTGGCTCAGTGCAGACGGTAGTTTCTGCGGCAGAGATAAGCTCAGAAACAACAGCAGGGTGAGCAGAGTCAACACGGCCCATGTAGTCGCCGCTGACAAACTTAACAGAGCAACCAGCGGGCCAAGATACTTGACCCTCATTCCTGAGAATCCAGGTTTGCTCAAAAATGTGATCAGGGGGGAGAATGGTGCCATCAGCGACATGGTCACGGACGAAAACGGCACGGAGATCAAGGTTGCTTGTTGAGGTCTGGCTCTCTTCCTGGGTCTCCTCCTTGACCTCAGTCTTCTCATCAGCAGCAAACTCCAAGAGATCGCGGGGCTCTGATGATTCAGCCTTCTCCTCTGGCTTCATGTCAACCACGGTGCGAACCGCATTGATGGACGGGGTAGAGACTGGTGGCAGGCGATCGCCCATGGCTGGCATAGCGTGGCCATCCGAGTGCTCTCCAGTGGTAGTAACACTGACATGGCGAACAGGGGTCTTGAACTTGATCATGGGATGAGTCTTGTTGTGCTTGTTCTCGGGGCTTGCCTCGCAAGTCTCGCACAGGTCAACATCATGGCACACGGCACACTTGTATCGAATGCCACGGATGTAGTGGGAAGTGCAAGCAGAGGTGCGAGCACAGACAGGGCCATCGCAGTAAATGCCAGTGTGGATAGCCTGTTGCTCGAATCCCTCGGAGACTGCAGAAAGCTGCAGAGGCTCGTAGACGGACACGAAGCGGTGCTTGGGGTGGTTCTCGCCAGCGGAAGGCATACACTCCTCACAATAGTCCCAATCAGGGCATTCGAGGCACTTGTGACGGACACCAGTGATGAACTAAAACAGGGTCAGTAAAACACGTAGATAGCAATCACACCAATTTCGGACTGACCTTGTCGCAGCCGTCACACAGGGCGTAGTGTGGCTGGTTCCTGCCAGGGCTCAACTTGGCGGTGATGTGCTCAGGCATGGGGGTGCCTGCAACGGCAAGCTGGAAGGCATGGCCTGGGTGATGTCCATGAGCATCTCCACTGAAGCAAGCCCGGCACAGGTCGAAATCATCGCAGGCCTGGCAGTGAAGGAATTCGGCTTCGGGGTGCTCTATACGATGGTTAGCATGCTACGGTACCTAAGACGGGTTGGAGAAGTCCAAATCTCACCTGCCACACATGAATTGCAGGTTCGCATGCTCACGTTCAGCCTGGACATGGTCTGCTCCAGGCGGGCAAGAGCAATCTTTGCCTCGATAGTTGGCCACGATGGTTCCTCAACCGGCTTCTGCTTCGGCTTCGGTGCGATTGTCTCGGTGGTGCTTGTGATGATCTGGCCGTCCTTGGTTGTTCGCTTAATGAGCCAGTGGTCACTGCCATGACAAGTGATGCCCATATCAACACACGATTGGCAAAGGTCGAAATCACCATCTTCACAGGTAGAGCAGTGATAATGAACATCTGGGGTCGTCTTGTCGCAGCTGTTGCAGCAGATGGCGAACTTGGCACATTCGATAGGTGTAATCTCTGGGAGATAGGCCTTCCAGACTTGCTGTGTCTCCTCAACCACCGGCTTGGGGGCAGGCACTCTCGCAGCGGTGAGAGTCTCCTAAAAAGGAATATAGATTAGTCTCCGTTCCCACGAACAGACCCCGATCTTGGTGAATATGGAATAATCTGGTCCGTGTAAATGACAAATCACGTACTTGTGAGCTGAGGAAGTTGCTATCCAGAGCAACCGGGGCGCTGGTCTCGGTTTCGACACTTGGGGTGGACGATTCCTCAGGCGAGTCTTCGACGGTGACGGGCTTGGGCTCGACGCTGCTCTCGTCGACGACGCGAGTCACTCGCAGCTTGAGCTTGGACTTGGCCTTAGCAGCCCTGTACAGCTGCTTGTAAACGCTGGCGTTGGTGGGATCGAGGGTGACAAAGGAAGCGGCGGAATCGGAGTATCGCTCGATCGTGATCTTCTGCTCGGCGGGAACATGCAGGAAGACTCGAATCTGGATTGATATTGATAAGCTGACCGCCAACACGACGCCGACTCAGGTAGCCAGACCGCAGCATCCCGGGTCATGCGGGAGGCTCTGGGCCAGCTGAAGAGAATTACTTACCCGATCTTCGAGGGATTTAGGTGCGGTATCTCGCAAAGGCATCTTGGCCCGACGAGTGATACCGTCATAATGCACCTTGACGGTGATCATGGTGTCGAGGGAGGTAGCCGAGGACGCCATGATGAAATCGATACAGAGCTCTATGGGAGGGCGGGAAATGATGTTAGATACTGTTCATCGAAGAGAAAGTTTGTCCAGGGTTTTGAACAGGCTGTTCTAATCTTCCAAACACGGTGTGCAGCACGTGGTGGGAGAAGGCATCAACCTCGCATGGGGGTGCAACTCACAGCGGTGACGGTGACGAGACGGTGAATGGTTATCAGTACTGCGGCGATAAGAAGGAAAAGGCGGGATCAATTGAATGCTACCGCCTCCTCTGTACTGTACGATGCGCGAATGATGGGGGAAATCCCCAGACCGATGCCGACAAAAGATATGAAGACAGATATCGATGGTTGGAGATGGGGTAGATGGAGGGTGGTGAGGAAGAAAAGAGGTTACGACAGAGCTGCTGGGAGCGATAATGGATGGTAGAGTTGCCTTTCGGTCGGTCTGCGCACGGTGGATGAAGTGAGCTGCACGCTGCAGGTGTGGAGGAAGACGTATCTGGGCCTGGGTCTCCTGCCCCATCGCGCTAGAGCTCTCTGGGCGGTCGATTGCCTTGAGAGACAGGGGGGCGCAGCTAGGGGGGCCTGGGGGCACGCCTACAGGAGGGAACACAGGCTGGTCCGCACAGCACAAGGTACCAACCTGACATGTTGATGTAATCGCCCATGGCGAGGGTTACACTGCCAATCGCTCCTCAGGATGCCCCGGATACGGAGGACGCCCTTCCAGCCAGCTCCACCACGCCCCTCCCACAGGCACGCTACCAACCAACCAGCCGATGATACCATTTGCCCAGAGTCAAGGCACCATGCCGGCCCCCCATACTGTCACGCGGGAAGCTCTCGAGCACGGACGCTGCCTAGAACAGATACGTACGTCAAGCGGTCCAAGGCCCACGGAGAGCATTGAATTCACTCTTGCCGGAAACCTTCGCTCCCCTAGCGCATATGTTTGTCAACCAAAGCGCCCTATTTTGAAACTCTCTGCTCGGCCAGCCCAGACCCTGGTGGAGATGCCGGCAGTCTAGGCAACCGTGCCGTCGCAAGTTGTGCCTAGCAGCAGGCAGAGGACTACGCAAGGCAGAGGCAGTGTCAGGGAGGGTGCATGTACCTATCCTGGGCTGTACCTGTATGTCGGTACATGTATATGCGTTCGCCTCACTGACTGCCTCCCCAGCCCCGGACGGCCAGGCGACCACCAGCCTGCGTAATGCTCGGGTGTAATGCCTCACAGCTGTGCTCTGCACAGGAGGCAAATCAGCACTTTGACTCAGCCAGGCTGGACGCTCGCACAATCGCACGCGGCCCTTGCCTCCGAATGGAAGATCGCCCTCCTACCTCGGTCTCCTGAGGCGAATCAATTACTAATGATGGAGGTGGAGACCAGAGACAGAAGCAGCACATCGCCATCCGTCCCGATTGATGCCTGCCCCCAGGCATTACTGCAGGACGCCGGCCTGCCTACTAGATGTCGTGACCTATTCTTCCAAGGCTGAAAATACCAGGGAACTCTATGTACCCATCTCCCCTAAGGTATGCATCGGTTGGTTGGCCAATCACCCAACGGGGTAGAAATTGCCTTTTAGCAAACAGGGTTCCAGCATCTGCAAGGAAAGCTACTTAATCTATGCAGGTTGAATCAGAGGTATACGTAAATACGTCGTGCCGCAGCCTCCGCACTCGTCAGGTTACATGCTGTACCACTTCAGGTCTGCTGCCTGAGATGAAGACGCAGCTGGCCGACCCCTCTCCACTTCCATGGATGCTCACGCCTGTTCTTCAGCTTCCTGCTGCTTATTTCAGTGTGTCGCACACGGCGGCGTCGTTCTCGAACCTACAAGTCCGGTCCGCCTCAAACTAGGGTGCAATACAATGCAGAAGACGTCATGCTCGCTTGCTATTGGCTCCGGGTAGCTGAAATCGTCGCCACACCTGCACGCAGGCTGACAGGACTCGATGCCGTGGCAGACATGTCCCATCAATTATCTTCCCTCCGATGTCTACGTATACTGCATAGGTACGTAGGGGCACTGTCCTGCAGCCTATTCCAGCAAGTGAATGTCTACGTAGCATAGCAGGAAAACAATCAATCCCTGCTATTACTCCTTGTGATAGCCCCAACCGACGACGGGACTTTTGTCCGTTGGAGATGGTTGAATCAGCCCGCTTACTCACCATGCACGAGCACCAAGGTGTAAACTGTTGGATATCTTCCCAACGATTTCTTTGTCATTATATTTATATAATCAATCACAAGCAGATGTCCGTCATCGGGAGAGGCCTGGAAAGTTTGCAGCGTTGATCAGTGTCGCTCATCGCCGTAGCCGACCAAGCGACTAATATAAAAACATGGCATACTTGGACAGTTCAGCGTTGAATTTGAACACAATGCCAGAATAATTGGCCTAGTAATAAACACCATATCAGGCTATATTGTAGAATAGATCATTATTCTTTTGTTATTGTGTTTAATAAAAAATGAGGTCCCCGCTGTACGCGAAAAGAGCTTTCGTGCGCCATGTTTTATTTCACCCACTTGCCAACGCCACCAGATCTAGGTAGTATTAAATTATCAGTACGTTCTTAAGATCTTACTTGACTTATTGCTTTGCTCGTCTTCCAAATGTGAGGTAAACTGTATTGTAATGTCATGGCCAGAAGGATGTCGAGGATCATCAGAGGGAACCTCAGCTTCTTCGTGTCATCATATCCCATTGCCTCCTCAGCACACTCCCAATCGTATTCGGTAACTATCCCAACCAAAGTGCTTCCCATCACCCGGCGAGAGCGACCAGTAAGTAACCCTTACTTATCCCATACTGACAACCAGAGACAGCCCTTGCAGTAACACGTCAAGACTCCCAGCCCCCAACTTGATGCAAGGGGCATCCTACTCCCTACTGCCAACAACACAACACTCCCAACCTGAATCAAATCACAGAACGAGCAAAAAAGACCAAACATAGGTAGTCACAAATAGCAAGGCTCAATATTGTTGGCGCCAACGCAATGTCTTTATTTTTTTTTTCTTTCTTTCTCCATTTCCCTACAACAAGAGTGTGAACTACCAGACAAGACAAGTCCATCCATTCGCCTTAATACAGCGTGCTGGAAACAATGGCCCCCCCCTTCCTATATTTCCCACAACACCAGAAACACCCAGACCGTGAATAGCTACGAAACACCGCGCAAGCTTTGATCAGCCGTAAAGTGGGGAGAGACAGAGGGACACACGCCATAACACACGGCGAGATACAGCATGGTAAGATAAGACCAGAGGAAAGAAGTAGACGAAACCCACCACGCAGAACGGGGAGAAAAAAAAGAGACACCTGGCACATGAAAAAAAAAGACGATGATGGTGGCGACGAGGTCAGCCCTGCGACAAACCACCTTTCAGGCCGCCAATTCAAGAACCGTCCCCGAGGGCTGGCCTCTCCCCCTTTTTTATGCATTTTTCTTACTCTCGTGCCTCGTGAAGAAACACGGCGGAAATGAAGGAGTGATTGCTGACGCTGGTAAGATACTTCCCGCTATTAACAACAAGCACCGGAACTTTTTGTTTTGCTAAAGATGCCCCAGCCCAAAAACACGTTGCTGTCATCCATCGATATGGCTCCGTCAATGCTTGATGCCCAGGATATTAAACAGGTACAAATAGACCAACAACATGTCTCAGTTGTTGAAAGTCCCATCCAAATGCCATGTGGCAACGGTGAGCCCTTTCCGTCAGGCCCAAGAGTTATCGCCAACTGCACGCTCCACGGCGTGGGTAGATAGAGACGTAGAAGAGATAGCTAAAATAGGCACAGAGAAGGAAAAAAGGGTGTGCTCCAGGGTCATCCAAGGACGACCGTCGACGAAATCGGGTATTTTATTTATTGAGAATAGTAAACCATACCTGGCGCTGGTTGGGGGTAGTAGTAGCCATCTGGGCTTGGCGTTACCATGCCGCCCATGCCCATGACTCCAGGTTGATAATTTTGGGGGGTCGGATAGGGTTGGTATGTATTCATTTGAGGAATCGGAGGAATTTGTGAGGCGTCGTAATAGTAGACCATACCATTGGCCTCTTGGGCAACGAGGTTATTGGCAGGCGGAGCTGGCCCGGGACCAACGGGGAGGCCAGGCATCTGACCAAGTTGGTTTTGGGGTGGAAAGCCACTGGGAGGCGGCTGCTGTCCGGCGCCAACGTATTGAGGCACAGGAGCTTGGCCAGGCATGCTGGGTGTGGAATAGCCACCCTGAGGGTAAAAGTACGGCTGCTGGGCCTGGCCCTGGTAAGGTTGGTGGTTGTAATATTGAGGCTGTCCATAGACGTTTGGCTGAAACGGGGCAGCATGAATGGCTCGCTCTGGGATCTGAGACAAAGGAGTTCCGACCGAGGGATGAGACAAGTGCGAAGGTTGGCGGGAGTGTGTTTCCTTCTGGTACCCGTTGGATACTTGAACAGGCATTTGTTGATGGAATGGTTGTTGGAAGGCCTGAGGCCCCTGTGCGAGAGCGGGTGACTCTATATCCGCTACAGAGATATTTTTCTTAGGACGAGGCTGATGAATAGGAATATCGGTGGGACGGTTTTCTTGCATAGGGGGCTGCGGTGGTGGTACCATGTTGTTGACAATAGGAACTTGGAGAGCCGGTGGTCCAGAAACGTCAACGAGCCCTGTGGCCAGCACATCTGGGCGTGGAGCCGGAGGCAAGCGGACAACCGGCCTTGGGTTATCGACAGGCATAGCAGCGCGAGACATGACAGATCCCGCAGGCGAGAATGTACTCTCACGGTCATACCCAATGGACGACCTCCTGCTCATAGCGATGCTCGGGGAATACATGCTACCATAGTAGCTACCACCAAAGACACTCGTCCGCCTTGAAAAGCCCCCGACAGAACCATATCCGGAACGGGGTTTTCCTCCACGCGTGCGTTGCTGGTTAGGTCGCATGGCACGAGGGATGAAGACGAAGGACCTATCAACAGCGGGGTAAATGTATCGAGGTGGGCGCTGAGGAAGGGAAATTCGAACGGGCTTGTCTCGTCGTAGAGGCGGTCGGTGATCGGGGAGCTTGGTGTATTGCTTGACGGCAACACCCGGCTTGACGACGGGCCCCTTCATCTCCGGTAGGAAGACTCGAATCTGGGCATTTCCTATGTGCTTCTCCGTAGAGAGTGTGCGATTGATCGGTGTTGGGTTCGGTTCGCGAGTGGGAATGAAGCCATTGCCGTTCGCCGGGCCTTCGCTGTTATCTATTTGTCGGTGCCGGGTTCTTGTCGGCTCGACGACTGTTTCATGCATATCATGAGTCCACTGAGAATTAGTCGTAGGGTCATTCGGGCGGTGCATCGAACTAAGGAAACCAGGTCAGCGGCAAGACGGAAAACATGAGCATCAAACAGAACTTACTTCATTGGAGAAAACGGTCCCCCGACACCACCACCGAAGCCTCCCCGACCTCGACCCCTACCGAAAGGTCGGAACCCATTCGCAGCAGGGCCAGCATGGCGATGGTCATGCATGAAGAAGGATCCCCGATTGGGCACAAAGGCTGGGTCCTCATCCCTTTTCCGCCTGTAATTATCATGCTCCTGGCGGCGGCGATTCTCAGACGACTCGGCGGGCGGGCGAGCGGCGGATGCGGAGCTGACGACCACTGGCGCCGATGGCGCCTGAGGCGCTGCCGTCGAGACCTCGTCGAAGTGAAGATCCTCAGCAGGGGCGGCATCGTCCGCGATGGTGAGGCCATTCAGCATCATCTCCGTATCCGTGACAGCCTTCTTCTCCGGTTGGGCGTTGTTCTTGACGGCCGATGTGCGGGTGGTCGTTTTAGGAACTCCGTTCGTGGTCTTTCGAGCGTCCGGGCCGGTCGGTGACATCTCATCAATGTTACTGGTATCGCTATCCTCGGAGGCATCTCCATCGTCGGTTCCTGACGATCCGTCGGTCATCGAGTCATCGTCGAGTTCGAGGCCTTCCGGGCCGCCATCATCGTCGCCCTCGTCCTCGACTCTGCGGCGATGGCCGATCTTTCTCCGCCTTGCAGCAGCCATGTTGTGACGGTTCAGACGAGGAGTGTCGATGGATAGAAGGTCGGGCGGGGGGTCAGGGGGGAATTAGGAGGACGGAGGCGAGCGACCATGTGCCAGCGTCCGGGAAAACTGATGGGAAATCGGAGCAAAAAGAAACGACAACACGTTGGACGTGGCCCAACCAAACCCTGCGGCGCCAGAAGAAACCCAAAAGAGAATAGAAGCCAATGCAAAGGAAACGGAAACCGGCTGGCTGAGGAATGGCCGGGGGCGGAACAATAGCACACCCAGGCACACTTGAGGACAGCTCGGATGTAGGAATAAGGGGGGGAGAGCAAAAGAAGAAGGGGGGAGAGAAATGGAAGAGTGAGAGAAGGGTTGATGAGAAGTTGATGGCGATGCACTCCACCAAGCTTTTGGGGCAACTTGAAAAAAAAGTTCCACACCAGCGCTGGATGCTGGCCTGGGGTTGAGGGTGATCATGTCGCATGGCACGCAAAACGGGTGGGATGGTACTTCGGGCTGGCTTGGGTGGCTGCCCGTGCCCTGTGCCGTAGCGTGTTCAATGTTGGTTTGGCATTGTTTCACCACTAACACCCATTGCCAGGCTGTCGGCCCATAGGCTGTGTCCATTGCCATCATTCGTTCCAGCAACAGGCATCGCTGCACGCATGCATCCATCACATCACCTTAACAATCCTCCATAGTGCTACGGCTGCTCCCCCATTGCCCGCACTTGCTCCTATCTGTGTGCCCGGATAACAACAGGAGTCCTCTAGAACCATCCACGAACAGGACCCGCAGGGACAGCAATGCCATAATGCGACATCCATTCCGCATCCAATTGCATCAGCAAAGTCATGCCAGGTCTTAAGCGACGCACTCCTGTCCTTTGCCGCAAATCGGGCAGCGAGAATTATATCTGCCTACGCCGGGAGCGAGGATGGGAAAAAGGTGATTGCTGTCCAGCATGGCAGACAGCTTGTGCGACTGGTCAGACTTGGAGGAAGCGGAGTTAAGCTACCAATCGTCTCCAGCTGGCTACGTGGTAACCGGACTCCATCTTCCCCCCCTCCTCTTGCTCTGGCTCTGCATGCCTATTGATCGATAATGCGATCCGCTTATGAAGCAGCCAGCAGCGAGGTGACCACTGGCCGACAACGCAGGTATCAAGCATGCACCCAAAAGACGAAGCCAACTCATCGCCGAAACTGGGTCTTGTTCTGGTTTCAACCCTGGTGAAACGACTGGCAGTTGAACAGCCGGAAGGTTGTGTGTCAGACGCACAACATCGATCAGTGTCATCATGCTTGCCTGGCATCCGACGTGAGGGAAGTTTACATGTGGGAAGCAACATTATGCATGTGTCTCCATAGGAGCCCTCCCCCTCCTTGGCCGACCCCATCAGCGAGCGCTTGCTTGCTCGTCACAGCCCACAACCGAGGATAGCATCCAGACTACCTACTCATTAGTTATGTAGTTTGAACGTAGCCTATATGTAGATAGGTAGGTGAAAGATTAAGAGAGGGCCAGCAAGTTAGCTCATATCATGCAAGAATGAGCTTAGAGCGTCACGGATGGATTCCACCCAAACATCTCTCTGGCGGGAGGGAGAGCATGCTGTCAACCACAGTGCAGTGCGGGATCCCGAACACTGGCTCGCAGCGCAAACACATATTCGTTTAGAATCACGGGCGCCTGCACACTCTTCTACAATTGGACCCTCTCCTCAAAGTTGGCCATGGCCAGCCAGTGACGGGAGCCAGGTCCGGTACACGACCGTTGCACTCCTCCCCAACTTCGGAGCGATCGGCCGTGGAGCTCTCCGTAGTGCCCTAATCCAATTCACTCCCTGGCCCCGCAGGTTGTCAACCACTGGCGATCCCGGTTCAGCGTCCGTTGTTTTATATAACGAATACCTGGGGCCCAAGACATTGCGCAGAACAGGTGTTGGAGGCCTGGGAGCGCACTCTCGGGGCTCCTCCTACCCCTCAGCCTTCGTCCCTATTGTCGTCCGCTCTCCCCCCTCTTCTCAGCCGGCCAAGTTCCTAGGCGTGATTAGTACTAGCAGAAATTTGAGGTTTGGCCATACCGAGCCTGCTAACAGGTAAACTGGTATAGCCCGGTCGGGTCCGTCTGCCATTGTCGGCAATGCACGAGATCGCTCGAGCCCATGTCGTCATATGGTGCACGCGCTATAGCTCTTCAGGTGAACTTGAACCAAACTCATCCCCCCCTGCACGCACCTCACCACTCCAGCGCGAAGGGCATGCAGCAGAGATAGTGGGGTAAAAGGCCAGAGAGGTAGGTAGCGATATGGCAGATGATGTGGGAGGGGAGGCAAGCGCGAGAGAGGAGGGGAAGACGGGGGCCATGGTTGATCTCAGATATGTATGGGTGTATGTAGAAAAGGCGCCCCAACAGACGCAATCGACACCATTCCGTTCGATTAAATACCTACGTTCAATGGCCCTCTCTCCTCCTCCTCATTCCAATCCGCACACCCCGCTCCTCGCCCATTCCCAGAGCCTCATCTCCAGACTGCCCGGCCTCCCTCGTCGATCGTGCGAGCAGCAGCAGCAGGGGACTCAACTTCCCTCCAGCGCTCGCCCATCATGACCAGCCTACCCTCCCAGCACCCCGCCATCTCCATGCACCTCACCGATGCCTCGCTCACGCCCCTCATCAGCTCCTCGAGGTCCCAATCCCACCTGGAGTCGCTCACGGCGCTCTCCAACACGGCCCTGGCGTCCCAAACCGCCTGCCAGCGAGTGAAGCTCGGCGCCCCGGAGCGCATCATGGTCGAGTACCCCGACCGCGGGCCCGTCATCCTCCAGTCCTTCCTCGACCCCGCCGCCGTCCGAGTTCCTACACAGCGCCATGAACGGTCCCGGCCCCCGACGGCCAAGGACGAGGGCGGTGCGAATGGAGGGAGCCAGAAGGCTGGAGAATGGGAGGGGGAGGCTGGAGAGGTAGATGACCGCCCAGCAAGCTCCGACGGCGACCTCCAGGCTGAGGATGCTCCACCGGCCCTGGTCTCTATCGTCGTCGCTGGCTCGGCCGATCAAGCCCGAGAGGCAAGAAAGGCAGCCGCAAAACTCGAAAGAGTTGGGAGGGATTTCCAGAGAGAATGGGCGAGCGAGAACTCTTGAAGCACGCTCACGATAGCCCGTCCCTTTGTTTCACCATCCTTTCCAAAGTCCCTGTCAGCATCGCATCGCATTACGTCGCAAAAATTCTCCCTCAGCCCACCTCATTGCAATTTCACGGGAATGGGAACTTGGTCAAAACTACCTGGTATGGAGTATTGACGGAAAAGTCTCTTTTTTGGGATCTGTTACCTTTCGGCAGCGCGGAGTTATAGATGTCAGTCACGTCGAGTGGAGTCACACATCGTAGCAGATGGATTCATGTCGTTTCCATCATGTCATTCAGTCCTCTTTTTACGTTGGTCTATTTATTATTGCCATAAAAGAATAAAAGTCATAAATCAATCACATGCTCCATACCCGGCATTTCATCAGCCTGTAAATCCTTCATTTTATCAGATACAGCCAGACTCTTAGATCAGCTGCTCAAAAGCACGGTTGATAGGGGAGCGGATATTGGGGACATCCTTCCAGAAGTTGATGGTAGCGACAGCGCGCTTGCTGATACCCTCGGGGGTGAACTCGAATTTCTACGTCTCGTGTTAGCGTGCTGGCTCAAGCAGCAAAGAATTTTGTGACAACTCACCTTGTAGACGTCCTTGTAGGCGCCGGAAGCACCGAAGCGGTTGATACCGAACTGCTCGTGGCTGTATCGCTCCCAGCCCAATGTGGTCATGACCTCAATGGAGAGGGAAGGAATGCCATCGGGGAGGACGGAGAGGCGGTACTCCTTGGGCTGGGAGTCGAAGACCTCGAATGAGGGGATGGAGACAATACGGGCCTTGATGCTGTGGTTGTCCAAGAGGTACTTGGCAGCGTCGACGGTGATGCCAACCTCGGAACCAGTGGAGATGAGGGTGATCTGAGCACCCTCAACCTCCTGCAGAACGTAGCCACCCTTGATGGCCTTCTCGAGGGTAGAGCCCTCGAGCTGAGGAAGGTTCTGGCGAGACAGAGCAATGATGCTGGGGGTGTGCTTGGAGGTCAGGGCAACGTAGTAGGCAGCGCTAGTCTCGTTACCGTCGGCAGGGCGCCAGACCATGTTGTTGGGGAGGGCACGGAAGTGAGCCAGAGTCTCAATAGGCTGGTGAGTAGGACCGTCCTCACCAAGTCCAATGGAGTCGTGGGTTGCGACCCAGATGGTGCGGACGCGGGAAAGGGCGGACAGACGGACGGCACCGGCAGCGTAGGAGACGAAGTTGAGGAAAGTACCGGAGTATGGCAGAACGGTACCGTAAGCGGCAAGACCGTTCATGATGGCACCCATAGCGTGCTCACGGACACCATAGCGGACATAGCGACCAGCGTAGTCACCGAGGCCGGTGGAGGGGGCCTGGAAGTCAACAGCCTCCTTCCAGCGGGTAAGGTTGGAACCAGTCAAGTCAGCGGAACCACCGAACAGCTCGGGAATGACGCTCTCGACCTTGGACAGAACAGTCTCGGAGAGCTTGCGGGAAGCAATGGCGGGGTCAGCAGGAGTGTAGACAGGGAGGGCCTTCTCCCAGCCCTCGGGGAGGTCGCCAGTCTGGCGGCGAATGAGGTCGGCGTGCTCCTTAGGGAATTTCTCAGCGTACTGAGCGAGGAGCTTGTTCCACTCCTCCTCAGCGGCAGCGCCGGCGGAAGAGTGCTTGCCGTAGTACTCGTAGACCTCCTGGGGAACAGCGAAGCTCTCATCGGGGTTGAAGCCGAACTTCTGCTTGAGCTGCTTGATATCATCAGCCTTGAGGGGAGAACCGTGGACACCGTGGGTGCCCTGGTTGAGGGATCCGTAACCAATGGTAGTTCGGAGCTTGATAATGGTGGGCTTGTCCTTGGACTCTTGGGCCTTCTTGATGGCAGCCTCAATGGAGTTGAGGTCGTTGTCACCGTCGT